ATCATCAACAAAATTCTAGCACATTGGATCCATCATTACATTAGAAAGATCATACACCAATAAGAGGGATTTATTCCAGGGATGCAAGGCTGGTACAATATCTGCAAATAAATAAATGTTATACATCACATAAACAAACTGAGAGGCAAAAATCACATAATCATATCGCTTGACACAGAAAAGGCCTTTGACACAATCCAACACCTTTTCCTGATAAAAACTCTCAGCAAAGTGGGAATAGATGGATCATACCTCAACATAATAAAAGACTTCTATGACAATCCTACAGCCATCATAGTCAATGGGCAAAATCTAAAACCATTTCCCCTAGGAACAAGATGTGGATGCCCACTCTCACCACTCCTGTTTGACATAGTACTGGAAGTGCTAGCCATAGAGATTAGACAAGAGTAAAATAATAAAAGACATTCATATTGGAAAAGAAGTAAAACTCTCATTATTCACAGATGACATGAAAGACTCCATCAAAAAACTATCAGACTTCATAAATGAATTCAGCAATGCAGCAGGATACAAAATTAACACTCAGAAATCTATGGCATTTTTATACACCAATAATGAACTCACAGAAAGAGAAACTAAAAAACAAAAACAAAAAACAATCCCATTTACCATTGCAACAAAAAATTAAGATACCTAGGAATAAAGTTATCTAAGGAGGTAAAACACCTATACCTGGAAAACTACAGGTCACTAAAAAAAGAGATAGAGAAAGACATAAACAAATGGAAGAACATACTGTGTTCATGGATTGGTAGAATCAACATCATTAAAATGTCCATACTACCCAAAGCAATCTATGGATTTAATGCACTCCCCGTTAAATAACAACGGCATATTTCACAGACCTAGAACAAATTCTCCAAAAATTCATATGGAATAAAAAATAAAAACGCTGAATAGCTGCAGCAATCCTTTGAAAGAACAAAGTTAGAGGAATCACAATACCAGATATACAGAATACCAGAATCACAATACAGCTATACTACAAAGCTACTGTTCTTAAAACTGCCTGAACTGGCACAAGAACAGACATATAGACCAATGGAACAGAACAGAGAACCCAGAAGTCTACCCAAACCATTATGCTCAATTAATATTTGACAATGGAGGCAATATCATACAATGGAGTCAAGACAGTCTCTTCAATAAATGGTGTTGGGAAAATTGGACAGATAACATGCAAAAAAATGAAACTAGAACACTAATTTACACCATACACAAAAATAAACTCAAAATGGATAAAGGACTTAAATGTAAGACAGGAAACCATAAAAATCTTAGAAGAATCCATAGGCCACAAAATATCAGACATATGTTTTAGCAATATTTTTACCAGTACAGCTCCTAGGACAATGGAAACTAAGGAGAAAATAAACAAATGGGACTACATGAAAATAAAAAGCTCTGCACAGCAAAAGAAACCATCAACAAAACAAGAAAGTCCACGGCATGGGAGAACATATTTGCCAATGTTACCTCCAATAAGGTTTTAATCTCCAAAATTGACAGGGAACTCATACAACTTAACAAAAGGGAGATAAACAATCCAATCAAAAAATGGGCAAAGGACCTCAATAGACCCGTTTTAAAGAGGACATACGGAAGGCCAAGAGACATGAAAATACTAGAGGCCCAGTGCATGAAATTTGTGCACTGGTGGGGGGTCCCTCAGCCCAGCCTGCCCCCTCTCACAGTCCAGGAACCCTCAGGGAATGTCCTACTGACAGCTTAATGTCTTAAGCCATAGTCTGGCCTCCCTCTATGGGAGGTGACCAGCTGATCAGGGGAAGGCACCACCCCCATCTCCCCACTGCTGCTGCCACTGCCGGCTGCTATAGCCACCAAGGTGTTTTCATCAACACGGACTCAAGGAAAGACAGAGAGAAACATCAATATGAGAGGGACACTTTGATTGGTTGCCTCCTGCATGAGCCCCGACCTGGGCCCCGGTCAGGGAGGAGCATGCAACCTAGGTATATGCCCTTGATCAGAATTGAACCCAGACTCTGTGGTCCACAGGCTGAGGCTCTATCCATTGAGCCAAATTGACTAGGGCAGGGGTGGGCAAACTTTTTGACTTGAGGGCCACAATGGGTTCTTAAATTGGACCGGAGGGCCGGAACAAAAGCATGGATGGAGTGTTTGTGTGAACTAATATAAATTCAAAGTAAACATCATTACATAAAAGGGTATGGTCTTTTTTTTTTTTAGTTTTATTCATTTCAAACGGGCCAGATCCAGCCCGCGGGCCGTAGTTTGCCCACGGCTGGACTAGGGCAAGATATGACATTTCTTAGCCCCTTCAGCAGCAGACCTTCATTTTTTCCTTCAGGAGTGAGATGGAAAAACCCTTGATGACTTTCTTGAATTCTTACTACCCAAGTTACCAAGAACATTGTGAGTGGCATACAGGGAGCTTAGCCAATAAGCTGTCAGAAAAGGTGTTTCCTCTGTAGGTCACGTACAGAGACAGGACTGCTGGTGCGCTGTCTCCCAGCTGGGGCAGGCCGCCCTGTGTGTTGTGTCTTTGCTCCGGCCCACCTCCCTGTGTGTTGTGTCTCCGCTCTGGGCCCGCCCCCAGCCCCAGCTGTGCTGTGGCCATTGGGGCTGGGAGCGGCATGCAGTACCCTTCTACCCATCTGAGTGCACATCTTCCTCCTGAGACGGTCTTGACTGTTACTGTGTCCTGACTAATTTGCATATTACTTCTTTATCTATATAGATGCTCAAAGTCACTAATCATCAGAGAGATGCAAATCAAAATGACAATGAAGTACCATCTCACACCTGTCAGAATGACTATCATCAACAAATCAACAAATGACAAGTACTGGAGAGGATGTGGAGAAAAAGGAACACTTGTGCACTGCTGGTGGGAATGCTGACTGGTGCAGCCACTATGGAAAACAA